ATCATGCGTTTTGTGCAATTCAGCCCATCGAACGATTGCCTATTAATGATTTTCACTGCTTTGCACGTTAGCCTATGCAAAAATAGTTCGAAGAAACATTGGAAATGTTTGAACTATTTTTGCATAGACTAAAGTACAAAGCAGTGAAAGTCATTAAAATCTTAAAGGGTGAATGTCTTTCCGTGATTCGAAACCTTGAAGGGTGGATATCTTTCCGTGATTCCCGAGTTAATAGTTTACCCGCCAAAATTTTCACTAAGCCGTAAGAGATACTCAAGAACGCGGGGACGCTGAATTTAAATAGGCAGGGGTGAGCGTGGGCGGGGGGTCATTACCCTAAAATTTCAGCTTTCTAGACCCCGTGGTTCCCGAGATAATGATTTACCCGTAAAAACTTTCACCAACCCACAGGTGATACCAGAGAGCGCGGGAACACTGAATTTGAATGGGCAAGGTTGAGCGTGGGCAGGGATTACCGTAAAATTTTAGCTTTCTGAACCCCGTGGTTCCCGAGATAATAATTTACCCGTAAAAAACTTTCACGGGGCCGTACGTGCGCCCCGCGAGTACGGGAACGCTGAATTTGAATGGGCAAGGTTGGGCGTGGGCAGGGGTCATTACCGTAAAACTTCAGCCTCTTAGACTCCGTGATTCCCGAGATATTAATTTACCCGTAAAAAACTTTCACGGGGCCGTACGTCTTACCTGCGGATACGGGGAGACTGAATTTAAATTTGCCGCGTCACCCGCTGGCGGGGAACACTGTACCAAAATTTCAGCCGCGTAGCTTCTGTGGTTCCCGAGTTGAAAGTGCTTGACAAAATGTGGGACACACACACAGACAACTCCGTGACAGTATGTGTTTTGCAGTGCTGTTACACAGCACAGAACACATAAAAAGATTCTGGAAGTGTCCCTTCCCCTGTTGGTCCTCGCTGTCCTTCATGCCCCGTCTCTCGCCTGTACATGCCTCATTCAGTAGACGATTTTTCTGCACTTTAGCGTTATATGTGAAGTGTAGGAAGAAGTGTGGAATGATTTGATCATAAAGGTGTTTTTTTTTTTTTTCAATATTCTGAAATTACCAGTGCTCATAGTAAGAGTACGCTTCGCTTTTGAAACGGTTTCTCACTTAATACTTACTCCCAGTGTTTTGTAGATGTGAAAACAAAAGAGGAGATACTTTAGCTTCGCTGCTGAATAAGTGAGACAGAGACCCTGGAAAGCGTTTCGCCCAGAAATTTCTTGAAACAGAATATTCTGCCATCCACTGTCTTATGTTTACACATTGTGGAAAGATCATGGAGCGGCCACGACGCGCTGTTGATACTTTTTTAGGTCGACGTCTTGCAGTATAACTGTTTTGTGTGTGTCTGTAGCATAACTTGCTTTCATTTGTGAGACATGTAGTCGATTTTGAGTTGCTTCGCAGGCGAATTTATCCCCCACTCCTCTTTCTCTTCCCTCCCCTGAAATTGTTGTACAAAAGAGACGTTTCGTTCATTCAGCACTTTATCTGAGCATGGAGCGGTCGATAATATCTTTCTCTGGGTTTCAAAAAAAGTTAAAGTACTCTGCACAGCAGAAGTAAATGAGGCAGATCAATGTCCAGAACTAATTAACCATTTCTATTTTGTCTCGAAGTCTCAATCCAATTAAGTTAGCATTTTAGCTCGCCTATTGTGTCGTTCAGTTTATTGAAAAGGATTCGACATTGACGCCGCAAGTTTTTGATGCACTGCTCAAATTTTGGCCGAGAACATGTTCCGCAAAAGAAGTAAGTCATTGAATCATGCGCATGTTTTTTTTCACCGCTTCTGGGAAATACTGTTGCTGTGGTGCTTCCAGGTGATGTTTTTGGGCGAAGTTGAAGAAATTCTCGATATCATTGAACCGGAACAGTTCAAAAAAATTATCGAACCGTTGTTCAAAAGGCTTGCCAAATGCGTCTCTAGCCCTCACTTTCAGGTATACGTCCCACTCTTGTGTGATTTATGTGTGAGATGAACATGACTATCACTAGGATGCATTTGTCACACGAAAAATGAAATATACCGTATCTGTGATGCTTCAGTACTCATGAGTTACACATTGGTTTTGCACAGGTTTTCTCGTGGGGCGGCTTAAAACCACTGCATGGGTGATATTGCGGGGAAAAAATGCACCTCTTTTTATGGCAAAAACAAATGAAAAAGGGCTAGGAACTTAGCCTTAGCGTTTTAGTGAGATTGAAAAATCGTGACAGGATTTTCATCTCTTCAGAATGATTGTAATTGTGGCGCTGTTATGGCAGGTCTGTTAGAGATTTCAGCATTGCAAAAATATGTATTGGAAGCATCAGATCAGTTATGATATTCAGTTTTGTTATAGAAGATCACTGATTCTTCTCCTGTGATGTGTTTTAGGTGGCAGAGCGAGCCTTGTATTTTTGGAACAATGAATATATTCTTTCTCTTATTGAGGAAAATAGCAGTCAGGTACCATTTAGTATCTAAAATATGCCAGGAATATTGGGCATTTCTGTCTCCCTTCTACGTACTAGACATTTCTGTCTCATCTAAGCTGTGCATCACTAGCTAGTATCTATTGCATGTTCGATATGTGTGCCACAACTCTTTGGGGCTTTCAAAATGGTCATTTACTTTCTCATTACCATGCACTAATGCACTGTGTCCCCCGGCTTATCGGCGTGGCAAGCAACATATTCCAACCACTGAATTTTTTCTCACCAAGTTACAGCGATATTCGCACGCTGGAGAGTCTAATTTTTTTATATAATTACGAAAAGACGCGCCAGACAACCTTTGCTGTGTCGCTCTCTCCATAACAACCAGCGCGCGCCCTTCAACTTTCATCACTGACCACTTTTTACTTCCATTATAGCTTTTACGTAACGCTATTGAGGGGATGGCACGATCCGTCGGTCCGAAACTTCGTAAATGTCGACGGTGCTGTGAAGGTAATATCTCTAACCGGCTTTCTCTGGCTTGTGGTTTTGGCTCGTATTTAGTTCCTGCCCAAGATAGACGTAGCCGCCAACTTCTTCAAAGTCAACACTATCTGCAGTCTGGCTGCAAGCATGCTGGCACTCTGCATCACCTTCGTTTTGAAGCGCTAATCTTCTGGCGGACCTCCTTACCTCGTGCTTGAACTCCTACACCGTTTCATTTACCTCTGCTCGTAATAAATAATGAATAAATGGTCTACGAAGCGTATTTGGTTTGGCTACTTACTGTTCTCCAGACAGCCTTCCCAATTCAGCTTCCGAAATATCTCAGGGCAGTTATGCCTAAATACTTTGTTGCTATATAATTATCCACGATTGTTGTATTTTTACGTAGATGCTGTAAGGCGCAAATGTGCTGAATGCTCAGGTGATGCCAATAATGTTTCCTGCGCTCTACTGGATCAGCAAAGAACACTGGAATCAAACGATCGTAGCGCTTGTGTACAATGTCCTCAAAACGTTTATGGAAATGAACGGGAAGCTTTTTGACGAGCTCACTGCAAACTATAAGATAGAAAGGCAAAAGTGGGTTTTCATTCCTCCTGCATGCTTTTCATTCTTTTTATGCTGGTGCTGTGCTGAGCAAATGCTTCTCTCCATTAAAGCTTGGCTTTTTTTCCCATCATGAAGATTTGAACATCTTCACAATTCTAGGCATACTTGATGTAACAAATGAGTGGTACCTGCTCTTAGAACCGGTCCTTTAGTTCAGATGTTCTTTTTGCAGTACATTTCGTGACTGAGTGGATAACTGTTTGCTTGTCGTGTTGGAGGATTCAGATCGCCTTCAACCTGCTTTGAAGCGACTTTTGGAAGCAGAAATCGTGACATCTTTTATTAGCGGGCATTACTGCTGGTAGGATGCTTTCACCCAGAAACTTTTTAGTGCTTTCGTCTCTCTTCGAGTATGTCATAGAGTGGGTATCATGGTTGACTTAGTTCCTGTGACTTATCCGCATGTATTCCTACTTACTAGGCGTGTATACATGTTTATAGTTTTACAGTACAGTTTGGATGGGATACTTTATTGTTTTGTTGCCCTTAAATTACGTTGTTTGTTTGTGTCTGCCAAACTTTTCTGAAGTCATTTGGAGAGTGGTTTCCAGCATCTTTTAACTTCTTTTTTTAGGGAGAAGAAGAGGGAAAAGGATCGCGAAGATTTATGGAAGCGGCTGGCTGCTGTCGAGCTAAATCCTCCAAAAGATAAAGATCCACACATACTTAGTAGTACACCGCTTACAAATTTTTCAACAAAACGGGAAAATCTACTTGGACCTAGTCTGATTGCTTCAGCAAATTCTTCTGGTGATAACAAAGTACTCAATTCCGGGAAAAGGTATCTTTTTTGTTGCGTTCAGGTGCACGATTTTCAGTTTTTTTTTTTTTTCGAGATTGGAAAAGAAATAGGTTTTTAGATGAATTTACATTATACCTTTAATTTTTTAATGCATATTTGACTACAGTTTTCAGTTTGCGAAGCTATTGCTGGTTGACCACTAGCTTTCATCAAATTTGCTTAAATTTTGCTTGAGTCAGTGCGAACTGCATTATTTCACACAGGTTCTTAGTTTCACGTTAACAGGTATCAAGCAGCTGCACCAAATTAGGTAGGGTGAATATAAATCTCTGTCTTGCTTGGCTGTTCACGCAATGGAATTACAGTTTTTATTTCGTTATTGTTTCTCTATTTTATCCATTCATTCAATTTTCGGCGCAGATTCTTTCGTTTTTTAGCATCATTTAATGTATGTCGGGCTCTTATTCTTTTTCCTTGCTCCGGCTGAATTTTTATGCGTTTTTTACGCCTACGTAATGCAAAAACGCATATTTTCGGTGAGCTGTCTGTGTGTGCGTATGTCTGTGCCGAGTTTTCATCTCGATAACTGCAAAAGCTACAACGCTGAAACTTTGGTAACTTAAGCTACACACATTTGTGGGCCCTCGCCCCCAAAATGGACTTTCTTACACATGTGGTCCGCACGCATGGGCCCGTGGCGAGTAAGTTACTAACTTAGGAACCAGAGAAGCTTGAATGCTGGAATTTTAGGAGGATTTTCCTCGACCGCATAGAACTTAATGACTTCAAACTCGGCCCTCAGGTATGCGTGGTTCTTACGTAGTGGCCTGTGAAAACTTTTGGCAAGTAGCTTGCTAACTCGATAACCAGAGAAGCTAGAAAGTTGAAATTTTGAGGAGATGTTTTCTGACAGCCGTTTGGCCAGTCTCAGTTTTTTTTAGCTAGTAGCATCTGGTGGAAAAAACAGTGCCGTTAGCGATAAAAATCTGTGGGGAACTTTGCAAAAAACGCGTCTTCGCACCGGCAATCGGTGCGATTATTTATTGTTGACGTGCTCAGTAGCACTTTCTTCCATATCAGCCATGCAGCAGTACCCATTCTTTTCTGCCAGCCTGGAATCCTTCTATAATGATGGGGGCTTTATGTTATTTGTGTTTGTAACTCACGTCCTTTATCGATGCTTGATTTCAGATCGGGTGCTGGAGCAAGCAGTGGTTTCACTAAAAAGCCGTAATCGCGCTTCTGTGATTATAATTTTTGTAGACTAAGTAAGCGGCCGGCTGAATGCGCAGAATTTTAAAGGAATGTGCCAATTCGTTATTGTGGTCTTGGCACACAGATTCAGATTTTCCACATATCTGCTATTGTAATAATAGCACCTGGAAAGTCCCTCATGTGACTTATTTTGCGCTTCTTTACCGCCTGTCGCTTAAATCGGGTCGGACTCTTTCTTCATCACAGGGCATAATCATGCATGCAGGATTATCCCTCAAATTCACACTTTCAGCCCAAAGATTTATTTATATTTATGTGAATCATTTGTATTTTCATATATTTTAGCAAATTTTGTTCATTATGCTTGCGAACTTATGCTGATAACTGGCGCTTACTTTCGGGCTTTGAACGGTTAACCAGAGTCGGCCATTTGGGAAACCAGTCCTCTTGCACATCGTTCTACTACTGGTGCATTACTAATAGCGCATCTAGGATGACAAATAATAAATCTTATGTGAATCCTGAAATAGTGTCTACGGCTTTGCCAGCAGGCGGTTGACCACCCGAACCACTTCTGATTGCCTCTGTCTTTCATGAGAATGAAATGCTGAGATTTAATTTTTTAAATGATAATTTTCGTAATCTATTTGTATCGATTCCTTATGTAAAGGAATACTGCAGATTCAAAAGCTAACTCTTTGAATGTGGGTTTTCTTGTAAACAACGCTTTCGTGCTTGCTTCCACTGGTTAAGCCCCCGAAGAGTAGGAAATCGTAACCAAGTTTCTTATATTCATGCGAAAATTGTTTCTAGATACGTAAACATTATCGCGGCGAATTCACAAACACTGCTCTGAGTAGGACTGGCGCCAGATCCAGGCTTGGCTTACCGAGCTGTCACTGATTTTAGCAGTTTTCGATTGAAACTTGTAATTTTTTTTCTTTCAAATAACACTTTTGAAAATGTAAATTCAGTGGTGTTGTTGTCGCTGGTAGATGAGATCGTCCGTTCCCTCCCTTTCTCTGTTCGAGATATTTGGCCAGTTAGTTATATGTTTGAAATAAATTATTTCCCTGCCTCGCAGCTGTCCCGGAACACGTGATTACTAACGTCTTTTTGCGTTGGTTGCTAGAAGTTACTGTAATTGCTACGACTGGTTTCTTACACTTGATATATGCTGTTTAATTTTTTATATTTACACATTGCTACACCTTTTTTGACTCCTTCGCGTGTGTAATAAACAATTACTGTGTTCCTCATGTAAAATTTTTTGTTTTCTTTACGGCTGCTTTGCAGTCAAAATTCTATGCCCTAGAGGCAGCACGGGAATGCGCTAGCGCTGTACATCCCACAGCGTTGATTCGGTGAATTCAGCTCAGAGGAGTGTAAGGCGCCTTCTCGACCCACCTGCAGCTGATGCATTGAAAATCGAAGCGTATTCAGTGAATCAGTCGTACATCGGGCGATTTTTGTGTTATGTGTCAGGAGAAGGGACCCCGTAGGTCATAACTGACTTCAAAACTGCGCATATATACGTCACCAAAGGTTAATGGTTTACGGTTGTTAACCGTCCTTGAAGTGCAACTAATGATTTCATTCATATGGAAGACAAGTGCCAAAAATGTGCACTGGAGTTCGATTTATTGTATTATCAACTGAACAAAATAAAAGTAGCGTGGGAAAACTAATTTCACTTCTGATAACGGACGAAGGTGTACGGGGCTGAAAATCCAGTCCCCGACAGAGCAAAGATACAGAGTGCGTGCATGAATGATTTCACTTATTAAGACATCCGGAGTAATCCGGGAACGAGGCGACTTCTCAACATGATCATACAAAACGCCCAGGCAAAAAAAGGTACACTGGCGGAGCTGGGACAGTCGAATGAACAACACGGCAATAGAATGACAAAACTAAATATGAAATAAGTCGACGATGAGAGCATAAAAAAAAAAAAAAAAAATACATCCACCGGCCTAATCCACAGGAAATGAAAGATTCGACTGCGATGGAACTTTAAAACCCGTAATACACGAAAATAGTACATTAGCTGAAAAAATGCGCAACCAATGACATTCCATTACGTGAGTAAATAGCAATTCGACAAAACTTTGTCAGTAGCATGAAATTTTCATCCAAAATCAAAATTCCCCCTACAACTGCTAACCGATATAACAGTCAGGACGCATGGACGCGGGCCGAGTGAGCCAGTCACTCTGACAGCAATACCAACCACTGTTGGCAACGCTATCACCTCCAGTGTTTGCTTTGAAGACCACTCTGGGCTATAATTCGAAAAGTTTGCACCCGCACTATAACAAATGGGAAACAATTGCATTTCGTGGAATAATTTGCAGTCTCTGAATTTGTGCTATGAATCGAGGAAACCCGTTCCATTCGAACTTAAAAATTTGCCTTCCGCAATTCGTTTTCTTTATGTATAGTGAATTATAAAAATAGCAACACGAAATTATAAAAAAATAGAAATCGAATTCATAAATGAAGCTGAAATGCTGGAAAATATGCGCGCAAAACGTATATGTTGTTGAATGCGAGTTATGTTTTGCTGTAATGGAACAACAGAAGCATATCGGTCAGCATGAATTAAGTTGCAGTTTGACGCATTCGAAATGCCTTCAAGGCAATCGATCTACCAAAGCAAAGCAGGCCTTTCGGACCTAGATATTCCTTGCGCAATCTGCCAAACAATTTTTCTCAATACGAATTGCAGCGCTTTGCACCTCGATGAGCGTTACAAATAGTTGCAAAAACTTTACAAAACTGAAATACAATGTTACAAAACATTTCTTAATACAAGTATTACAAAAAAAAAAAAGAAAAAAAACCCAAAATTACAATGGTATATATCATATAAAGGAAGAACTGAGGCGCACCAGGGCATTTCGTTCGTCCTCCTCCTCCGCTCTAGGGCGACGAGAAGGCGCTGATGTGAGAGGAGATAATGCAAAGAGCTGACATTATGGGAGTTAAATTTAGTCTAAAACGTCAGCAGAGTTAGCTAGTGAGTAATAAACTGGACCACAGAATATGCCGGCCCAGAAACACAACACTGACAATGACATAACTGTGTGATAACCTCATGGTACGCCTCTGGCTAAAAACATATATTTATATACAAGACAACACTGCCAACCTGTGAGTTCTCCCTCGCCTTTCCTTTCCAAACTCAGGAAACGCCTTTTCCGCTTTTCCTTTTCACTCTTCCTAGATTGGGCAACTTTGCGGATTCTGTATCCTATATGGCAGCTAAATTCGCCTGGATTTCCGACTCCATCCAAAACAGTCCTGCTCAGCAGACAGTTCGTACTTCGTGTAAATCGCTCGCAAGTTAAAAAAATGAGTAAGCCTTAGCCAAAGTCTACATTGCGCATTGATTTTCGCAAAATCGAAAATTTCACCCCAATTTCTTACAGTGACAGCGTGAGTCGCCCTGATCCTTAACATATTTGACAGAAACGAGAACGAGAAGGAATGGCGAAGGGAGATACAGGCTGAAAGGGAAAGAAGAGCCTCTAATCTCCCTTTCAAAAAAATAAGGTGTGAAAACTGCACTTTCAGGGAAAAATACGAAAAGCTGAGTAAAAGTTTGACGTAAAAGTTAGCCAGAGGGAGCATAATTTAATCAAAAATGAGCAGACAGACTGAATGGCGCTACACTTGACCAAAACAGCATCCAAATTAGCTAAAAACGTGATAATGCGTTATTTTTGCAAAAACTCAAATAATACAAAAGGCGCTGAAAATATGCCGTCGAAACGGCAAAAAAGTGGATTAAAAAAATGCTATGCTGAACCGAGTTCAAAAATGCTGTGCTACAATTAAAAGAGTTTCACAGTTCAGCAAACGAAGGTGAAAATAGAAAAAAGAAAAAACTTTTAAAGTGTGCTGGTCTCATCTCCCCCACTCCCTTGTTCCCGCCCCACTCTTCCCATTACCTTTCTCATTTCCGCCTTCTGCTGAAAGTAGGATACCTACTTTGATTCTGACACTACGACCAGCTACTGCTTCAACGCCGCGTTCCTATTCGCTACTGATGCAGCTGGCAATTTCTTCCTTTCCCTTTGATTTGGGCATCTGTCATTCACATCTTACACAGCTGCTGTTCATACGGATACTTCCACTGCATCTGCGGTCTCCTTGTTCATTTAACACTACATGGGTGCCATTCAATAAACAGCTCTGTTAATCTGTCTTCTCTAATTCTTAACAGACTAGCACCTTACGTTTTCTTTCCGCTAATTGTTGCTGCGATAACACCGCTTATGCCAGACCAAGGTCGCAATATTTCACCTGAACTCTGACACAGTTCGCTGACACCTCGTTTCTCGGACTATTTAATTTCTTTTTCAGCGATCCTGTACTTCCATATTCCATTTCCAAACATCATAACTGTCAACGCAGTGGGACTACAATGTGCCGCTGGAAAGAACCTTGCAAAGACCATCCATCTCTGCTTCCTTTCTTCTATGCAGCCCTATACTCAATGCGCTATTCTTCCGGACAGTTGTCCATAGGCTTGTCGAACAAACTCTCCAGCACAATTTCGAACTGGAAACAATGCATGTCCCTCACTCACCTGGCTTTGCCCCCTCAATTTTGAATCAAGTTCCCTTCCCGGAAGTCCCAAACTCGTTTAACGAAATTCATGTCGAATGTGAAATTACAATGATTCTCCACATACTTAAAGGACTACTTTTAAACAAAACCGCTCATTTTTTGGCCTAACTGAACGTGAAAAGATTCCGAAGCTCAAACAGTCACGAAGATGCGCAGGTCGGCATGATAATTCTCGACAAAATACTAACATTCTCAGGAACAAATACACTGGATGAACATGCAAGCATGGTTGGGTAGAAAGCGGCACCAGTATTAACAACAACAACGCCAACAATAACAACGAGCAGCAGAAACATGCTAAAAGTTACGGTAATTATTGTCACCGTTACTGGGGCAACTGACCATCTGCCCACTGGAGTAAGGAATCGGAGTCGAGGATCT